GGATGCCCATGGGCTGTACCCAGAGCCCACAGCACGGCCCCTCTCCTGCTGGGAGTGGCATTAATGCCCTGCTGTTGGAGCTTCCCTGGAGCTCTGTGGCTGGGATGAGCACTAGGGATAACCATATCAGCAATCCTGATGGGATCAGAGTGAAACGATCCAGGGAGCAGCAGTGCCAGTCCCAGGGAAGGAAGGAGCAAGGCCACCGGGCAGCATGTCCCTTAGGAGGGGACACATCTCACATGTCACAAGCCAGGCAAGACCTTGGCTCTGAGCCCCTGGAAAAAGAGGATGGAACCTCTGAGGGATTGACTCAGTCCCTCCTGTGTCTACCCCAGGAGGACCAAACCAGATGCTGGACAGGGAAGACAAGGTGGCTGGTGTGGAGCAGACACAAACATCTCCCTCAGAACCTGGAGCAGCCAGGACAGTAGGAGGGACAATCATGGTCCCTATCAGGAATAATCATAGATACCTACCAGGAATAATCATGGACACTCATGAGGAACAATCATGGTACCTACCAGGAACAATCATGGGTACCTGTGAGGATTAATCGTGGTACCTACCAAGAACGAGCACAGGTACCCACCTGCTCAGGATGCTTTTCATGTCCTAGGAGGAGGAGACAAAAGCCATTCTGGGTGTGTGGCTCAGCCCCTCGTGCCCACCAGCCAACCCCAGGTGGCAAAGGCCCCAGGGCTGAGGCAGTGGGGCTGGTGGCATGGCCTGACCTTGAGCAGCCCGTCAGCCGGCTGCTGGCTCTTCTCCTTTATCTCCAGGATCAGGTCCTCCAGCAAGCACTTCTCCTCCACCAGCCTGGCCAGGTTTTCATTGATCAGCAGCAAGATCTGCTTCTCCTCCTCCTCCAGCGTCTGGAGCAGCAGCTTCTCCTCATCCGCCAGCAGCCGATGCAGCTTCCCAAACTCGCTCACGATCCTCTCCCGCTTTTTCTTCACCATCTCCTTGTGATGAGAAGATATGTGAGGTGAAGAGAGACACTATTAGCCAGGAAGCTGAGATGGAGCTGGGAAAGGCCCTGGGAAACCACCACATTTTTGACATAAGTGCATGAATTTTAAAAAGCAGCCAGAGGAAATTTGTGCTTCCACCTCACCGGAATTCCCACTCCACATCCTCAGTTTACCAACAGCAGGACTTTGCCCCAAGGCATTTCTGCTCAGCTGGACCCCAGATGTCTTGGGGGGGGGGGGGGTGTTGGGCTGCAAGGAGGTGCCTCCAGGTGCCAGGGTAGGTTTTTATTAGGTACAGCTGGAGGAACAACTCGAACCTCCAGCCAAATCCAGGCTAATCCACTGCTCGGGCAGCTGGAAAACCCCACAGCAAAGGGAAGTAGCTGGAAGAATCACAGAATGGTTTGGCTTGGAAGGGACCTGAAAGGCCTTCTACTTCCACCCCCTGCCATGGGCAGGGACACCTTCCACTAGCCCAGGCCCAAGCCCTGTCCAGCCTGGCCTTGGACACTTCCAGGGATCCAGGGGCAGCCACAGCTTCTCTGGGCAACCTGTGCCAGGGCCTCCCCACCCTCACAGCCAAGAATTTCTTCCCAATATCCAACCTAAATTTCTCCTCTTTTAGTTTAAAACCTTGTCCTGTCACTATCTGTCCATGTAAAAAAGCCTCAAGGCTGGGAAGGGATGGAAAGGGAGACCCAGGGAGGGTTCCCCGAGTGTCCCACTGCAGGGTGAGGGGCCAGCAATGGGAAGGGTCTGCCAGTGCTTTAGTCTTTCCCCTCCTTCCTATAAATTGGCACTTTCCTGGAACACTGGAGGAGCAGGAAAACACCCCACAGTAGCTTGAGTGAGGAAACCTCAGAATGCAGAAGATAAAGGAAACTAAATTCCACTTACTTTTCCATCCAAGCACATGATTCCTTGGCCCTGAGTCCTGGAGGCTTGATAAGCCAGGACAGCCACAGCCACTTCCCCCAGCACCAACAAGGGACTTTTTTCTCCTTTTACTATAAAAGCACGACCAGAGGGAGCTGGAGGCAGCTGAGCTGCTGCTGAGCCCTGACTCAGGATCCCACAGTGGGGGGACAGTGACACAGCCCTCACAATCTCCATCCCCAGCTCCAACAGGGACAGTGGGCTCACAGGGGCATCCCAAAATCCCACCACCCCTGGCTGGGCTGCCCAGACAAGGGAATTGAGTAATCAGCCAGGGCAGTGTGGAGAGTCCTGTTTTCCCTGCCAGAGCTGATTAATCCTCAGCTCAGATTCAGGGCTGGATAACTCCGGGCCGGCAGTTTCATTTCCTTTTCTGTAGTTACTTTCACTTTCCAGCTTTCACCCTGAGGGACATGAAATGCAGCTGTTTGCTGGCGTCTGCTCTCCCCAGAACCATCTGGAGCCAGGCAGAGGTGCAGTAATTGAGCTTTTTTTTCTTTTCTTAATGAAAACACTTCTGGTTCCTGTTGCCGTGGAGCAGAGCTCACCACACGGCTCACACCTGGCTTGGAACTGAAGCACATGTTGTAAAACAAAAGGCAATAAAAAACACCCTGTGTCTATTTGTTCAACCATCACAAAGCCCTCGTGATTCCAGGGAAACTGGAGCGCTGCTCCTTCCAAACCTTTTTACAAAGCCACACAGGGTTCTGAGCCTGGTTTCCAGCACAGCTCCTACATCTGACAGCAGGACAGGGGGACATGCCCCATCCTGGAGATTATGACAAATCCATGTCCCCAGACAAAACCCTTCAGGATGTTATTTTTTTAACTGCTGATGTCTCTGAAGCTCATTCTTTAAGAATTAAGCCAGACACCTGCCTTGCACTCCTGGGTTTTCATCCTCTCTGCTGACTCACGCTTCTTCACCTCCTCCGCTTCCTTCAAAAGATTCTCCAGGGATATCTGGAGTTTGACCTGAAAAGAGGGAACATGGGCTGAGCTCACCCCAGCAGGGCAGGTTGGCTGGGTCCCCTCTGCCTGGGGGGGGACAGTGACCCAGTGCCAGGCAGTGCCAGCCCTGGCACCCGAACCCAGCAGCTGTGCTCTTCACTCCACCCGCAGCGTTAACCCTCCCCATGCTCCTCAGCTTTTCCCTGTATTTTTTCTTCATTTTTCATGTTCTGGAGGGCAAAGTGACAGCTCTCCTTCAATGCAGGTGTGGCAGGTGGCTGGTGGTGCTGCCCACTGGGCATTTGGGGTTTTGGTGCCAGCACTGCTGCACCTGAGGCGAAATGTCCTCAGGGCAGCTTCTCCAGGGGGTCCTGCAGGGTCTGCACTGCCCCAGCTTCTCCAGGGGGTCCTGGAGGATCTACATTGTCCCAGCTTCTCCAGGGGGTCCTGGAGGGTCTGCACTGCCTCAGCTTCTCCAGGGGGTCCTGGAGGGTCTGCACTGCCCCAGCTTCTCCAGGGGGTCCTGGAGGATCTACATTGTCCCAGCTTCTCCAGGGGGTCCTGGAGGGTCTGCACTGCCCCAGCTTCTCCAGGGGGTCCTGGAGGATCTACATTGTCCCAGCTTCTCCAGGGGGTCCTGGAGGGTCTGCACTGCCTCAGCTTCTCCAGCAAGTCCTGGAGGGGCAGGGAGCCAGGCTGCCTCCTGAGCTGGATGGAAAGTGTGAGCCCGGATCCTGAGCTAGATGGACAGGGTGAGCCTGGATGAGCCTGGATCCTGAGCTGGATGCACAGGGATTAGCCTGGATCCATCCACAGTTTGGGAGATAGCGGGTCCAGCCTTATCCCAGCGGCTGGATGGGTGTCACCATCTCTGCCACCCCCTCCTCTGCTTTCCTGGAGGTGCCAGCGGTGCTGTTGGGAGAGGGGTGGTGGGGTCCTGCTGGCTGACCCCCCCTGCTGCTGCCATGCCCAGGGCCCCCCGGTGCCCCCGCCTGCCCTACCTTGTAGGCCTGCGCCGCCTCCTCGATGGGGTACACGGTGTGCGGGCGGTGCAGCAGCGACTCCCGGCACACCACACAGATGGGCTCCTCGTCCTCCTCGCAGAACAGCTTGAGGCGCTCGTCGTGCTGCGGGCACAGGGGGGTGCCCGGGTCGGGCTCGGTGCCCAGGCCGCCCCGCAGCCCGAGCTGGCGGATGCCCTCCACGATGTTGGCCAGCTGGCGGTTGGGGCGGAGGCCGCTGCGGTGGCAGGAGGCCCTGCACTGCGGGCACGAGAAGGGCCCGTCGGCCCAGAGCCCCTTGTCCTGGCAGTGCTTGGCGATGCAGCCCCGGCAGAAGTTGTGCCCGCAGTCGATGCTGACGGGCTCGCTCATGTACTCCAGGCAGATGGGGCAGATGGCCTCCTCCTGCAGCCGCTCCAGGGCACCTGCCAGGGCCATGGTGGCCTCGACGGGCACCTCCTTCCCCCGGTGTCACCCAGCCAAGGCCGGCTCCCAGCCTGCCACAGCCCCACGGCCAGGGAGCTCCGGCAGTGCCATGGAAGCCCGGAGGACGAGCCGGCCTTGCAGCCGTGTGGCACCGGCCACGGAGGCTCTGTGCTGGCTGGGGGAGGAGCTGGCACGGGCCGGGACAGCTGCAGCCAGCCCCGAAGGCTGGCACTGCGTCCAGCCCGGCAGGTCAAAGCGAGAGGAAAACCCTGCCAGGAGAGCGGGACAGACAGGGGAGCACCAGAAATAACCCGTGGCCATGGACTGGCTGGGGGTGGAGGAGGATTTGGGGTGTCTCTGGTATTTGCTGAGCAGCCCTTGAGACTTCAGGAGCCCCGATGTCACCTGCCCACTGCCTGGAGGTGCTGGCTGGGGTCGGTGACCCCCTCACTTCGTCACACCGAAACATCCTCCAGGACACCCACCCACCGCAGAAAGCGGGAGCTTGGGAATGGGCCAGGACGAGGCTCAGGCACAGCCTGGCAGGAGGCAGGAGGGACAGGCAGGATGCACAGAGGGGCTGAGGGACAGCCAGGTGCCACCCCACCACCCACAGACCCCGAGTGACAGCCTGGACCCAGTCACTGCTGCCCTCCGCAGTCTCCGTGGAGCATCCTAAGAAACAGTGGGAGCTGCAGGTTTTGCTCCTTTTTATTATGCAAAAATAACTTCAACACCATCAGTACAAACGAGAATGAAAAGTTTCACTGAAAATGTCAAATAAATTAAGACTGCCTTTGCAGAAACTAAAAGAGCTAAACACTGTGTTAAATACTCTGCCAAACTCCCAGGCAATGAGAAAGCAGGGATTTGTCTCGGAGGTGCCCATGAGAGCAGGTCCTTGCTGAGGTAATGCTTGGAGGGAGCAGGGCTTTGCTCATCCACTGCCTTCCTTGTGCTTTAGTTGAATCACCATGTCCTGGACCCACTTCTCATCAGGGTTGGCACAGACCAGCTTGTCCTTGATGGTGGTGAATCTGGAGAAGGAAATCCAGTGAGCAGAGGAGAGGGAGAGGGGAAAGGGAGATGGAGGGGAAGAGTGGGACGATCTGCTCCTTGCCACCAGTGAACCCCACCAGAGCAGACACCTCCACAGCTGCAAAACAGCCCCAGGGAAATAGGGTGGGGGGTGACTCAGTGTCATTACAGGTGTCCTGCTCTCTGCCACTTAAGCCACTTTGTCCTCAGCATCCTGCCTGGGGACACCATCCTGCCTGGGTCCCACTATCTGTGGATGAGGGGGGTGACCAGCAAAAGCTCCTTTGGCTCAAATCTCATGAGGACATCCAGAAATTGGGTGCCTGGGATGTGGGATTGTCCTCTGAGCTGTTCCCAGGCTGTTCTCACGTGGGAGAGCCCTGCCTGGTGCTTTTCCTCGTCAGGATGAGGTGTGATGTGGGGCTCCCTGGCACTGCCAGGACGAGCAGGGCCCCCAGGAGCAGGGCAGGAGATCTACTCACATCACGGCTGGCTGGGAGCAGCTGCTGCCTGTGTGCTCATAGCTCTTCACAAGTCTCAAGGGCAACGGTCTGGTGATGAACTCAGTGCAGCAGGGACCGAAATGGTTGAGAGAAACTGGAAGAGAAGTGAACTTTTCTGATTACACCAGATCAGGAAAAGTGCCAGTGGGGAAAAGTGGGGTCAGAGGAGAAGATCCCCACTGGAGGAAGTGCTGCTCCCACAGTGGGCTCCCACCACAGCCACCCTCCCCTCAAGGAGCCAAGGCAATGCATGTCTCTCCTTTCCCACAGCAGGTGCTGGGAAGGGAGAGCTGCCAAGCATTACTAGACCTTGTACAGCAGAAAGAAAGAGGAGAGAGCTCCTTGGAGAGGAGAGCTTGGACTCACTTGGAGAAGAGGAGACCCGGTAGCAGAGGACAGCCACAAAAAGTACAGCAAGGGCTGCTGTGAAGGTCTTCATGGTCCTGTTGGGTGGAGATGAGCTGTAGGAGTCAGGCTGGACTGGTGCAGGGTGCCCCTGGCTGTGCCTGGTGTGGGATCCCTGGGTTCAGCCCTCTTTATAAGAGGGAGACAGTGACCAAAAATGGAAACGTGATGGAAACACTGGTGAAAGCCATGACACAATGGGAGAAGTGCTGTGTCAGGGGCACCACATGAGCCTGGGGAGGAACCGTCCACAGCCCCAGTGAGAGCAGTGCCCATCAATGGTATGATACCATGAAAGGAGAGAGAACAGGATATGACCTATTGCTTCCTTTCCCCTGACCAAAGGACTCTCTAGAGAAACCAGAATTAGCGATTCAGAGAATCAGTAGGTGGATCTCTTCTCTGGAAGTCGCGGCAGTGGACGGAGAGCGGCCGTGGTTGCCACACGCTCATGTTTCCCAGAACATCTGCGTCACGGGCAAACGGGACATTCCACCTCTGCCACAGCAACTGGAGCAGGGAACGTTCCTGAGCCAGGCTGACCAGGCAGTGCCCACCACAGCCCTGCTGGGTCCCACTTGCAGCACTGCCCCGAGGCAACAGGGGCTTCCTCCACGGGGCCCTGAAGGCCATCGGTGCATAAACGTGCAGAGCAGGAGGTGGAGCGTGGTGCCATCCCAGATCTGGGCTCCTCTTCTGCCCTTGGCCATCCCTTGCAGCTAGTCCTTAGGGAACTGGTTCTGTTGCTACATCACCAGTGACAGCTAAAATAGTGCTTAGTTCTCCCTGGACACAGGAATCAGCCACTGATGCTCACAGAGAGTGTCAGGAGCTCATGAGCACGTCGGCACAACAGAGTTGGCTCAGATGATCATTTGGTTCCAGCACCGACACCCTCCTGACACTGCTCTGTCATTGTCCCACCAGCCACAGACACACAGAGAAGAGATTGGCTGGTTTAGCCCATATTGTTTGGGCCAGGAATGGTGTCACTGCACTGGCAGAGAAACTCCTGCTGGAAATGCTCCATCCCTACAGGAGGGCTCTGCTGGCTCCCAGGAAAAGCCTCGGGAGAGTGGAGGAGGAGTGAGGTCTCCATGGTGCTAATGAACATGTCCAGGTGCTGGACAACCACAGCACGATGGGAAAGCCACGAGAGCAGGCCATCATTCCTGATGGTCCAGTGACAAAAGGGGTCCTGTCTCTCTGTTGAGGATGATCACAAAGTAGAAGCCCCTGCCCAAAGTGGAGGCCTTGCAGGAACCCAGCGGAGGAACTCAAAGGGAAATTAAGCTCCCATCCATCCCCATTCCCACTTTGGCCGTGCCACACCTCTAGCAGAGGCACAGCAGCTCCCAACCATCCCCATTCCCAATCCAGCCATGCCACAACTCCAGCCCAGCCATGAGGGTTCCCCTCACCCTGCTCCCACACTTCCCCTGCTTTGGGAGCTCTTGGCATCCTCTTTCCCCCATTGCTGCTCAGGGATGCTGAGGAAGGTGTGGATGAAACTCCTGGTCCCCTGTCCACAGGGCTGGCCATGCACAGGAGACAGGGGAGGTGACAACAAGGTCACACACCTCAGCTGACAGCCCTGCCTGAGGGTACAGGGGGCAGGTTGAGGCTGAAGGTGCTAGAAAAAGGCTTTGAGACAGATCTGACTGACTGGGAGACTGGGAACACTCAGAGAGATGAGGTTGAGATGGGGCTGAGATGAGGAGAGGATCGTGATGACCTGCCAACCCAGGGGCCACCAACATCCACCCCTCCCACCCCCTGCTCCTACCAGCACACTCAGACCCAAACTTCCACATGTCCCCTGTTCAGATCAACCTTCCACTCCTCTGACACATCTCCACACAGGGACCAGAATAAAACTGAGAGGAGGAGAACAGGCTGGGGAATGAGCTGGAGCCTCCTCGCTGATGGCTCACACCAACACAGCCCAGCTCAGAGCTGCTTTTAGCTGAGTGTTCTGGATGTTCTTGCAACATTCAGCTACAGGTTTGATCAAAATGTCAAGATTTGTTTGGAAAAAATCACTATTTTCTATCAGGAATATAAATGTGCCTCAACACTGTCAATGAATTCTCCCTCCTTTCAGACACACCATGTTTCCTGCTTCCATTCACCCAAAAGGAACTCCTGGAGGTTTTGACACCTCTGCTATTCCCCCTATTCACTGTTTTCCTCAACTCTGTTCCTTCCTCGAAGGTTCTGTATTTCAGTCTTGGCTGCTCCTTCCTGCCAAGACAAATAATGTGAATCTCTAAATATTTTGATTTCTAAAACCTCCTCCACATCACACATCCTAAAGAGTGGCTATTTATGGAGGCTGTGAAACCTCTGCCTTATGGTGTGTTTCATCTATTGATAGAAATCACACGTGGTATCTTTGGATCCCCCACCAGGACACTTTTGGGATGCAGGAGGAAGCCTCTGCTCAGCCCTGAAGGCAGCAGGCTCCACCACACCACCTCTAACCCCTAATGTGGGAAACTGGGTTTAACTGGGAGCAAATCAGCTGGAAATGGAATGACTGGGGGAGGTATGAGATCACGGGGGGGGCAGCTCCAAGCAAGGATTTGGATGAGATGTACTTTTGAGAAGAACTGAGACTTTCCACGTGGGAATTAAAGTCTGCAAGATGATGAGTGGCCTAGAAAGAGGGACAAAGCAAATGGTCCCTGTTTCTCCTTAGCAGGAACCATGGACCATCCAATGGAGCTGGCAAGAGCCAGGTTCAAAAGGAACAGAAGGAAGCTCTTCACACCAGGAGCTCCTTGCCAAGGAACATGGTGATCTCAAGGAAATTTCCAAGTGGCTGACTCAGGCTTTGAATTTCAGAGGGAGAAGCTCAAAGACAATGCAGAAAATGAAAACGGATGGGGGCTGGGAGTGCCTTCCAGATTGGGAGCACAGATATTGGCCTTTCTCTTCAAGGTCTCTGCCGTGGCCACATCTGGAGATATTCAGGCTGGTCTAGATGGACCCTTAGTCTGCATCCTCTAGGACTGTTCATCTGATTCCCCGGGACAGCTGGTCCTACAGGACCATCAGGGCTACAGAGTAGCTTGTGAAATCCCATTAAAATCCCCAGACTGAAATTTATACATGAGGATATGTCTCCAGATGAATATTTTTGGTAAATGTCAGCACAAAGATACCAACAGTTTCTAAGCCCACAGCGAGGCACAAACACACTGCTGCAGTTCCTGCAATCTTCCAAGACCAAATTGGGGCACCAAAAAAGGCTCACCATGGGACCAAGAGGAGCGGGAGGTTGCCAGGTGGCCCTTGCAGAAATTTGGTGGCACTTCTCAGGACAGACACAGCCTGTCCCAAATTCCAGCCAAATGATGCCTTTGTTTCCCCCAAAACACCCTCTGCACTGAGCACCCCCCAGCCTGGAGCTGAGTGGGGCTTGCCTGGCAGGTACAGCACAGTGTGACTGGTTTATCTACAGCAGATGAGGTTCAGAGGAATGAAGATAAAATCATTTGAGAGAGGCAGGACCTGAGGCTGCCACAGGGAGTGTTGCCCTTGCACACTCTGCCTCCTGTTGTCACCAGCTGGAGGTACAGGGGACTGCAAGTCAGGACTTGCAGGAATCTAGAAAATAGTGTTCCACGAGAGCACTGGTGGATGTGGGGTCATGGAAATTATGGAATCACAGAACCATCAAGGTTGGAAGAGACCTCCAGCATCATTGAGTCCAGCACTGCCAAGGCCACCATGTCCCTGAGCTTTACATCTGTATTTCTTTTAAAGTCCTCCAGGGACGGTGACTCCACCACAGTCCTGGGCAGCTGTGCCAGGGCTTGGTCACTCCTTCAGTGAAGAAATTTTCCCCAGTATCCAACCTGAACCTCCCCTGGCACAACTCGAGGCCGTTTCCCAATCCCCACCTCACCACAACCTCCTTCAGGGAGTTGTGGGGAGGGAGAAGGTTTCCTGTATCATAAAGGGAAGACAGGGATAGACTGGCTCTGCAGACCCACAGCCTCTGCCCCATGCACTCCCCACACTGCCCCAGGGGCAGCACAGGGCTCCCACACCCAACCTGCACACCCCAAATCCTACACAGAAATCCTTCCCTCTGTGATCCCACTCCAGCAGCCAAAACTGTCTCACAACAGAGAAGTAAAGGAAGAATTGGGAAGAATTTCCTCACAGAAAGGGTGATTAGACGTTGGAAGAGGATGCCCTGGAGGTGGCACTCAGTGCTCTGGTCTAGTTGCTAAAGTGGTGATGGGTCAGAGGTTGGACTCGATGATCTCAGAGGTTTTCTCCAACCTTAACGATTCTGCGAAAGCAAGTTTGCCTCGGGAGAGACCTGGGCTCCGTGGGATGCTCCAGCTGGACCTGCTGCCTGTGCCAAGGGGAAGCTCTCCAGCAGATGGCAAGCACTTCCCACCTCCAGGTCCTGCTCCCAAGCTGGATTCTCACCTGCAACCACCCCTGCAGCCCAAGGTCCCTGTGGGGTTCAAGTTTTCTCCTGCAGATCCATATGGAAACCAGTTCAGCTTTGCTTTTGAATTCCTGGATAAGCAGAGGCAGCTGTTGAGGCTGCAGTGCAGAAAACACATCAGGTGATGTTTTGGGGTTACAACTTTCCTGGGCAAGCAGGAGACCTCAGCAGGACAGAGGTGAGGGCCCCATGGACAGCAGTCCTCTCCAAGACCCTCTCCCATCCCAGGCTGCTCTGCCCCCCGTGCTCTCCCAGGTTCTGCTCCAGGACTGTCCCTCCCCCACGGAGCAGCCCAGGGGTTCTTTGGGAGCACAAGCAGCCAAAAACTCAGCAGCAGCATCTGGTTTGCCCAAAACATTCAAAAACTGGGACCAAAGATGAACACCCCCACACACACACATCTCCTCCTCCTGGCACACTCTTTGCTCCTCAGGGACCCTCCTGCCAGGTCTGGACCACCACCCTGCCACCACCCTGCCCTCCAGGTGGCCACTTGGGCTCAGAAGGTGTTTTTATCCCAGGGTCTGAGCAAATGACCCCATCACCAGGGCAGGGCTGTGTTTGGGGCTCAGGATTGGGTTTGTGGAAGGTTTGTCACGGCCACTGCCCTCCCTGAGGGGCTTTCCAGATGTGCCCCCCTAGGGACGGGGGGTCTGCTGGGGTGGGATCAGGACATTGTGCCTTGGGGTGTCCAAAGGGGCTGCTGAAGGGATTTGGGATCCATATCTGAAGGGGATCCATTTCTCCCCACCTCTGGAGGGGGAAAGGAGCAGGATCTTAGCTCAAAGCCCTGTGCCCTGGCACAGCCAGCGGGATAACAGAGGGAGGACTGTGGAACTCTCTGTGCCTCTGTTTTCCTGCTGGAACAAGGGGGGTCTGTGCTCTCCCTGAGCCCAGGCCAGTCCCAGCAGCACCCTGGGACTCTCCCGGCTCGGGCTGGGGAGGGGGTTGGAAAAGGAGCCTTTAGCTCCAAGTCCTTGGGAAAAGAGCATCCCTGAGCTCTGGGCAGGGCCCGAAGCCACTGAAATCCCTCTGGCCCCTCTCCTGCCACTTCTCCTTCCCTGTGGCTGCAGGTTCTTTCTGAGGCTGTCCTGGTGGAGCAGGAGCTGTGCACGGGAGCCTCAGGGCATGAAGGATGCCCCCTGCCCAGCCTGAGGCAGCACCTGAGGGGTGTCACACTCTGCAGAGCACTGGGCTGCCCAGTGTCCTCTCCATGGTCTCCATCCTGCACAGGATACTCAGGTGAGACAATCCAGGAAGCTAATGGAAGCAAGGAAGGTGACCATGCTCCCGAGCCCAAGCCAGACCCTCCTGCCCCAGGAATGTGACAGTGGGTGGCACTGGGGAAGACAATGTCCCCACACAGGCCAGACACCCCCACGAGGGGCTCTGCCATCACCCTCCAGCTCAGCCTCCTGGGCAGGAGTGAGGACAGAGCACCAGAGCAGGTGAACCCCAGCCACGGCTTCCAAAAAGGACCTGCTAGTGGGGGAGAAGAGCAGAGCCCACCCCACCTCCACCCTGCTCACTTCCAGTCCTTCCCCATCATCTCCCGGTGGAACCTGAGGCAGAGGAACAGACCCCCACAGAAACAGCTCCGTGTCTTCCCCTCTCTTAGTGCTTGGAAAAAAGGCACCCTCTCCCACTGGAAAACCCCCAAATCCCTGCAGAGCCCCACAGCACATTCCAGCAGAGACACTGCATGGACTGGGCCAGCCCAGGGGGGTCTGACCTGCAGCCCATGGGCTGGATCCCGGCTCCATCCTGTTCCAGCCCCTTCCTGGAGGAGGCAGGAGCAGCTGGGAGAAACATCCAGGTACCCTCCTCTGCTCCTGCCCAGGTCCCAAAGTAGGCTCTGAGCCCTGGACAGGGAGGAGGAGGATGTGACTCTGCTCTTCAGCAAGAGGGAGCAGCTAAGACAGGTCTAAGCCTCGTGGTCCCTCACTGTGTGGTTCAGGGGCAGGATGCTCCGTGCTGGGCAGAGGGTGGGAGAGGTCCAGATCACAAAGCCCTCACTGTCCTTTGTCCAATGCCCTCCTTTCCTCCATCTCTACTCAGCAATGACTTCATTTCTTCAATTATTAATCACCTTGCTGCAATAGTAGCTGAATTAAGCCCATCAAGCCTCCCCTGGGAGCAGCCCCAAGGAAGGAGGCAGCTTTCCAGACAGTGCATTAGGGAGAGGGCAGACAGGGAGTCCAGACAGTCTGGGGTGGGAGAAACGGCCTCGCTGCTCCATGCAGGCCATTTCCCGGCAGCTGGGATCTGATATCCCAGACACAGGGAGCGGGAAGGTCTGGGATGCAAACAGCCCATCCCACACCCCGCTGGGCAGTGCCAGGAGGGTCCCACTGTGGTAACGATTTCAGCTGAAAAATAAGCCACAAGAAAAGAGTTCTGTTGGGATAATTGCTTGCACAAGAGCTCCTGACAGCTCACATTCCAAACAGCTGCTCCCAGATTGCCCCATCTCCCTGGCAGGGTTTTCCACAGCTCCTCCCCACCTGGAGCAAAGACATATTTTTAAGGATGCAGGAACTCAGCTGGCACCACCCCAGCACAGCCCCTTCACCATCTCTGGGGACTCATTTGGGAGCAGACTCAGGGCTTTCAGTCTCTTCACAGAAATACTAATTTGTCCCAATTTTGCAGAAATGTTCCAAGTGGGAAATTCACCTCTGCAGTGGGATGGGATTCCTGGTCAAAAACAACAGGAGCCAGCCAGAGTCCAGCAATTCACCAGGCTGAGAGAATCACAGAATCATGGAATGGTTTGGCTCGGAAGGGACCTTAGAGCTCATCCAGTTCCACCCCCTGCCATGGGCAAGGACACCTTCAATAGCCCAGGTTGCTCCAAGCCCTGTCCAACCTGGCCTTGGTCACTCCCAGGGATGGGGCAGCCACAGCTCCTCTGGGCAACGTGTGCCAGGGCCTCACCACCCTCACAGAGAAGAATCTCTTCCCAATATCCCATCTAACCGTGCACAAGTCTCTGATGGGTGACAGGACCAGAGACCCCGGCCCGGATCAGGCTATGCCGTGTCACTCTGGGCCGGGCTATGAGGGGACAAGGGGCCGCGCCGGGCCAGGCCCAACGGCGCAGGCCGCATGCACGGCCTGTGGGACCCCCCCACGGCCTGCGGACCCGGAGGGCTCAGTCGCGGCTCAGAGCCTTTCGGCAGCGGCTCCCGAACCCCCCGTGCCCGAAGAACTCCGCGGGGGTGTCCTGAGCCCGGCCGAGCCCTTCCCGATCCATCCCGGTCCACCCCGGCCCGTCCGGGCCGGGACGGTACCGAGCGGCCCCTCAGAGCCCCCGCCCACCGCCGACAGGGGGCGCCGCGCACGGGCGGGGCAGGGGCGGGGCCGCGCGGGGCGAGCGGCAGGTACAAGGACCAATCATAGAAGGGAACGGCGGGGGGGCGTGGCCACAGCCGTGTTAAGGGATATAGGCGGGGCGGAGGGCGGGGCGCTCTCAGAGGGGCGGGACCTGGTATTGAGTGGCGTCCAGCTCCACCAATGAGCTTGGAGAGTGCCCGTGGCCCCTCCTGAGTGGCAGTGCAACTCACCAATGATAGTCAGGAGGCGGGGCGATGGGCGGGACCGGCGGGGCGCGGGAGGTGCCGGCGGGGGCGTGTCCCGCGGTGAGTGGCAGGTGGGCGGGCCAATGGCGCGGGGCCCGCGCAGCGGCGGCGCGGAGCGGGGCCGGGGCGGCGGCGGGGCCGGGGCCGCCATGGACCGCGTGAGCAGCACCATGAAGCAGGTGGCCAACCCGCTGCCCAAAGTGCTGAGCCGGCGGGCGGGCGGCGGCGGCGGCCTGGAGGCGGAGCGGGAGAGCTTCGAGCGCGCCCAGGTACGGGCGGGGCGGGGGATGCGGACGGGCGGGGGGTGCGTGGTGAAGCTCCAGGGGGCGTGGCTGGGGAGGGGGCGTGGTCTGTGTTCGGGGGGCGTGGCCTGACAGGTACCTTGAGTTTGTTCAAGGGGCGGGGCTTGACCGAGTGGGCGGAGTTATCACGGGTGGGCGCGGCTTATCGGAGTGGGCGGAGCCAGCCCAGGTGAGCAGGGGGCGGGGCCAGCTTGGGTTACCTGCCAGGTAACCCAGGTGTTGGCACAACTGGGCGTAGTTTTGGGAAGGGGGTGGAGCTTCTGTGAGTGGGCGTGTCCCTCCTAGGTGAGCTGAATGGGCTCCGGTGGGCGTGGCTGCCTCAGGTGGCTGCAGATTGGCGGGGTGGGTGTGGCCGCCTGGCCCCGCC